CCGCTCTCCCTAACGAATGTGCGAATAATGAGGAAATGGAAGGCGTAGCGAATGCGGTGCCCCCGCAGGATCCTGCTCCTGTCCCTCTGCCGCGGCGTGCTTGCCACAAGAAGACATAAATAAAACGCACAACATCGACTTTAATTGGTCACGCCGGTCCATAAGAGAATGCGAATGGGAAAGCAAACGCGAACGCGGATGCGAACGCAGCTAAACCTCCAAATAGTTAGTGTGTGTCCAGTCCTAGAGATGGTCCCCGGTCAAGAAAATTGTGGATCCATTATATGAACTATCCATCAGTAACTATCAAGACCCACTATATGAAGGCCAATCTCCATTAAAAAACTGATGAATTAGTTTAGAACTGCTTTCTAATGCAACTTGATCCCTTCACATAGAGTATCAAAAAGTTGGTCCTTCGAGCCGGATATACAATTTTGGATAAGCTTTGGTGAGTGAGTGGTGTGGAGTTTATAGCTTTATATATCTAATTGTTAATACACTTTCCTTTAAAATATAAATACAAGAGCTATAGTCGCGTATACTAACTAAATCGCTTTCTCTCATTTTATTTCCCCACTCATTTTCAAGACCCCTTAGTTATCTCCAGCAATTATGAAAAATGGCTGATGAACACGAGCACATCCCTATGAAGTGGAGTGTCCTGCCCGCCTTCCGGTCTCCCTGCCTCAATCTCTGGCTGCCAGAGAGGAGGTTAATATGGGCAACTGATTTATGTTGGGCAACAGCAGAAACAGAAACAGACTTGGAGAAGCAAAAGCGAGTGCGAGAGCAAGAGCAAGAGCTGGAGTAGGAGCCGGAGCAGTCGGTACATGCCATGGACGTGGGGCATCTTCAGTGGCCGGCGCCAGACGCACGCGGCACATCCTTCATCCTTCGCCATGGCCTTCCGCCGGATTGCGTGGCTCATCGTCATCGTTCGCATTATAAATGATTTTAATAATTTGAAACGATTTGTTCAGTTCTGCATCAAGTCGGATAAACGTCGATGATTAATTAGCCCAGGCGGCGGCGAGCTTGAGGAACTATTCCGGATCCGGGGGAAGGGCATTACATAAGCGTTTCCCAGCCACTTTTATCGCTTCCGTATTTAAATGTGGCAGGCACTATGCTGTCCTTAATCAACTTTTTGCTGTTTTTTTTCCAGCTCCCCTCTGTCCTGTTTGTTGATTCCCAAAAGCGAAAATTAATTGGCGCCGCGATGCAGACGACGCAAAGGGCTGCGTTGTGATTCCCGGTCTCGGTTAATTGATAAATGGTTCTTTTCTGGTAGAAGCTCGCTGCCTGCTCTCGACATATGCAAATTCCTCAAAGGTTTTCCGCTTTTTTCCACCACTTTTCGTTGTTGTTTGTGTTGATCGTGAGATAAGCCGTCATAAATGTGATTCGTATCGTTGTTTGGTGACTTAAAGCTCAAGTCATGGGATAACTTTCTTTTAATTTAAGTTTAAGTAATAATAGAGTTTGAATTACATAAGGGGAAGTATGTTTTCAATGTTTGTATGGTTTTCTTTTCCCAAAAACCTACTCCTCAATGCTGTCTTGTTCGACGGCCCATCTCTTAGGAACTGCTTCGTTCCCCTGAGCCTTAGCCTAGCTAGTCCCATAGAAACCGACTCAATTCTGAACTCCCTCAAGCTCGAATATCAAGTGCAGTAATTAAATTTGCAAAAATTAATTATTTACACAACAGAGAATTTTGCGTCTGCGATTCGTGCAAAACCAATTTGCGCTCATGCATACGTAAATATTTGCATTGAAATGTGAACGCAGCCGAATTGAAATTACTGTTGTAAGCAGGCGACCTGCAACGGGAAAGGCAAATCGACCGCACGGCATGCACACATGCATCCAGAATCCAGAATCCTCATCTGTCGGATGCCAAACCTAAGCCAGTGGCTTCGATGCGGTTCCTTCGACCGCTGACCTCACAGGGCGACCATTTATCTCGGATGACACGCTGACAAGTGGGCATTAATTCTAAAAATGTTTGGGCATTAATTAAGGGCCTGCAGGTGGAGGAGATCCAGTTTCCCGGGTATCCGGGCCCCGGCCCCGAGTCCACACCGGACACTCCTGGGCCGAAAGCAATTTGTTAACACTTGCATTATTGACACATTTAATCCATAATTGTCAGCATTATTTGCCCGGATTAATTTAAAGCCATAAATTGAAATATAAAGGGTTATAAATTGATGGCCAGCGGGAGCAGCGCCTCCCCCTTCGGTTTATTTTTTGCCTGTAATTTCACTCTGGCATTGGAAAAGCTGCAAAATAATAATAATAATTGGAGTGCGTACATTTTTTGTTAGATATCCATTCAATCATGTATCGGGTAAAGTCAAATACTTAATGTTTAATAATCCATAATTTGCATATTTAACTGATGATTGGACATGGCCGGCTAAGAGTTAATTTGGCATTTATTTATATTGGATTTGTGAATTTTTCCTTTTCACTGGATACTCCTTTCTGGGCAAGCAATGGTTATTAGCTACTGAATTTCCTTCTCATTTGTTAGATATATGCGGCCAATTAAAATTGGATATTTGCGTGCCTCATTAGGTGGCAAAATCGTTTAATTAATGTCTCATCTCAAGGGTGCTAATTAAGCGGAGAGAATTGGAAAAACAGGCTAATTGAAATCAACTTGACAGGCAATCGATCTGATATATATTCCATCTAGTTCATGAATTAACTGGACAAAGGATTAAGTGAGAAAACCCTGTATCGCTCTCCTTGCGCCATTCATTGGCGTTCCACTTTGCACTGTCAACCTGGATACGCATTCCAATTACTTAGGAAAATTAAAAACCCTGCAATTTTCCACACCCCCAACGAGTGTGTCGAGGAGGCGGGAAATTAATTGAGGTAAAACTGCACCCATTGGATGACAGATGATTATACTATGGAGTAGTCTTCCAGGGACTATAAACATCAGCCCCCGCCTGGTCAGTCTGTCCATTTCGTGTCAACGCAGGTACAGGTGCTGATTAAATGGCTAATGGTCGGGATTAATAACCCCCTTTTCGCCCAGTGCAGTACCCTCTCCCTGGAGCTCGATTGTCGGATGAGGAGAAAATTTATCAAATAAATCTTGTTTACTCCAAGAAAATATTCTCGAAGCAATTTTTTCATTACTGCTGCCACTACTCCTACGCTCCTGCTTATTTTGCGCATAGTTTTAGGAGCCGGTTGCCGGCGGATTTCCATATAAAAACAAATGCCCCGAGCGAGGCTATAAATTTATTGCTGAACTTTAAAATACCACCGCCGCCGCCCCCAAAACAGCCCATTTCCCGTCGCACTCTGGCTAAGATGCCTGGTTTATTGGCAAGAAATAAACGTCAAATTAATGTAATTAGTATTCAGTGTTAAGGTACATGTTAAGTCTGAATCTAAAATCAATATATATTGATTACTTTCACTTCCGAAAAATGAATAACTAGCTAAAGAGTTAATGTTTGTATTCTAACAAGGCCTAACTTTAACAAAATCAATCAATTTTGCTTTCCATTCCAAAGCTTTAATACAATAAAATGAATAAACATAATATTCAAGGCCCAACAAATCATAATTTATTTTTCCCAATTGATTTTTTTCAAAAAACCCGTTAAAATCCAAGATATCTCCATCTCCCATTTTAAATGCCATTAAAGCCCAGTGTGCAACGCCAGGAAAAGTTGACTGGGGGGAGAGCCCGTATTTTTCGCAATTATCCTTGAAAATGCAGCATCGAGACGAGGCGAGTCAAGCTGAGGGACTGCAGGACAGCAGGACTGCAAGCCCGAAAGTTGTTGCAGGAAAGCGTGCCGGCGGAAATGTGTTTTTGCTGGGTGTTGAGTGACTGCGAATAATTTATTAGCTGCGTGAAAAATAATTTATGCTGAGTTCTCCCCCTTTTGCTTTTTGCACATATTTTTTTATGCACTCTCGGTCGGTGGGCGTGACGGATGGCTGGGTTTAGTGGGTTAGTTTTTGGTCGGTAATCGGTCAGCAGATGAATACCTTCGGAAATTAAACACTGCTCACAGTTTGGCAAGCACTACTCACAGTTTGACATGCACTGCTCACAGTTTGGCGGCCTTCGGACCGTGGTTGCTAACTCGGCTAGTTAGGTTATAGAGCAACTGGTAAATTAGACACGATCTGGTACTTTTGGTCGCTCCTTCACGGGCAGTCTGGCAACGCTGTTCGCTTGTACCGAATAGTCTGGCAATGCTGGTCACTCATTCCCTGACGATCTGGTACTTTTTTTCGAGCCAATTTTCAGTTTTTTGGCGATTTAATATTAATAATATGAATAATAATTATAAATAACAACTAAATGAATATACAAAATTTATTAATTTAAGGATAATTAAAGTTATTATTTAAAATGAAATTAAATAGTTGTTCATTGCCGATTTTCCCGAAATAGATACTTAAATTTAAAGTGCGTCCAGAAAACGTGCAATTCTTTTTAAATTTTGTGACAAAAGCTTAAAATAATTTGGTACTTAATTGGGGACGGTTTGTTCAAGGTTTTCGATTAAAAAATATACAAAAGTGGAATATTAAACCTCCTTTGGTAAGCTATGGACTCATAGTAAGCGGAATACAAATTGTTTTACTGAAACCATATGTCCACAATTCGCCCTTTTGGGCTTTAGGATGATCATTTTAATTCAACTCAATATTCTTGTCCACTTACCTATCTTCAAAACAACAGAGTTCGGATTTAGGAAAACTCATAGCCTTTTCGAACAGATAAACCGCCTATATCTATCTAACTATCTATATTCGCACCGCTTTCGAACACAAGCAATATTGCAGTGCCTTATTTCTAGACTTATTGCAAGTATTTGACAGCGTATGTATTGTACAGAAACAATTGTTTTTCCCCCAAATGCTATAAATCTCAACTTATAATGGCCACTTTAAAAGCTTTCAGGATTCCCTAATGCCCGAAATCCCTAATAAACTCATATAAATAACAATTTAAGTTAAAGTCTGATATTTTATTATTTTATAATTATTACTGGAGTACGAATACATTTCACATTTAAAAAATATGACGAGAATTGCAACAAAGGTTAAAGGATTCCTACGCAGCTAAGCGAAGGCATCGCGCCTCGCCTCCCATCTCAGCGGGATGCGGGTGCTGCTGCCTCCATCGTGTGAAGTGATTAGAAGTACGTTTCGATCGAGTTCGCATTAAGGATTACAACTAGCAACTATGTGTGGTTGGAGGGCAGGGGGTCGAGACCTCCACACTTGGAGCACCGGTGAGTCCTGTCCAGGTTCCGATTCTGTCCTGGGTCTCTCACTTTGTCTTGGCGCTGCGTAAATTCGATGCGGAGAGCACAGACCGCGGTGGCGGTGGCCGATCCAAGCTGTCCATGTGGTAGCGTCGCCCTGACGCCTCGTTCTTCCTGCCCAGCCGGCTTAGGGTACTGGCACTGGTGGCTCCATTGTGTGGTGGAGGCTTGCGCGGCAGTGTTGACATCTAGGGATGGAATATTAATAATAGAGAGGAACATCAGAGGATTTTCTTTAATAATTTCCCAAGTTTTCCTGTTAAATAATTTATGCTAAAATTATGATAAATCTAATTATAAAACCCCTTTTATTCAATCTCTTTCACCGGTTACTATATTTTCATAGGAATTCCATTAGCTTATTGGTTCGACATGATTTCTTGATCAACTTTATTCAGCTAATGGCCCCCCAGAACCAGTTGCAAATTATAGAAGCTTATCAACTAGAAAACTTAAATTATCATTTCTAGAATACACAAGCCTGCTTAGAGGTTTCTCTTTCACAGATTACGTTTGATTAGGGAATTCTTAATAAGTTTAGCAGGTGCCTAGGAAAGCGATTAATTATGCTAGTTTACACAATAAGAATATAAATATTCCTTGAAATATGAATATCTTTATTAGATATTTATATTTTCTAGGCAAGAAACAACCAAAAGACCATTTAAATAAAATGTACCTTCTATTATAACTTAACAACTTTTCCGATTTAATTATTTAATTTTTTTAAGAAACATTACCCTCTTGTTTTGCTCCTGTGAGTAGTTGATCTCGTAGCCCTCGCTGATGTGCTTGGGCTTCCAGGGAGCCAGCATGGAGACGGACCGGGACACTGTCCGGGTCATCGGCTGCAGTGGCGGTGGCTGCGGGGGTGACTGATTGCCCTTGACCCGGCGAAGGTCATCGCGCGACATTGAGCGCCGACGCAGGTTATATGGCTGTGGGATGTCACCCACCGTGGTGGCATGCAGATAAACCACGCTGCGCTGGCTGTGGAGGCTCGACTCGCCCTCAGTGCCGGAACTCTCCGCCGGATAGCGATCCCTGCAAGAAGATTCATATACTTTCCGAAAAACAAGATCCCAATCTATCCGAGCTCACCTGCCAAAGCCCAGGTTCTCTTGACCCAAGCTGTTAAGCAGCCCCCGTCGCTCGGCACTGCGGGCCGGCTTCGGAGGTCCCAGCAGCAAGGGACGATCCTCGGATCTACGTGGTCCATCCACCGATCTTTCCAGCGACATGGCTCGCTGGCCCGCCGTGCTGCTCCTCTTGTGTCGCTCCGCCGGCTCCGGCTCTGAGCCGCTCTCGGAGATGTCGTGCAGCTCCCGGGAACGCGAGTAGTGGCGCCGCTTGCGGAAGTCCACTTCGTCGCTGCCATGTCCATTGTCCAGGTGCTGCATGGAGCTGGCCCTCTGCCGACTGCTGTTGCCGTTGCTGTGACTCTGGCTCTGGACCTGCGATGTCGCAGCCTGACCGGCGAGCGTGTGGCGATAGTCGCGGGCCAGTGGCGGCGGACTGCGATCCAGGTGATAGGCACTCTGCGAATGCTTTGACTGGCCCAGGGAGGGACGACTCCTGGAGAGTGTTCCATATTAAATTATATATTATATTAATGTTATTGTAGCGCCAAGTCAAATATACAATATCTCACCTGGGCATGCTGGTGGCCTTGGAAATGGTTGGCGGATTCGAGTCCAAATCTGTGTCGCCAAAGAAGCGCAGATTCTTGGCCGGCGCTGCGGTCGTGTTGCGTTTGGTCCTCTTCAGGCTGGAAGTGGTCTCACTGTGTCCATTGACGGATACATTGAGCTGCTTAGGAATATGTAGTTGTAAAATATTTTAAGGTTTAAAATATATAATAAAAAAAAACGTACCTCCTTGGGACTGCTCTTGGCCCGGCGGTCCAGCGATCTGAACCAGCTCGTTTTCTCGACCTTGGCCGGCGCCGCCTCCTTGGCCTTGGGCTGCTTCTTGGGCGGCTTGTCAGCGGGACTCCGCTTCACCAGCAGGGGACTAGCTTTGGGCGTGGACAATCGGCGTCGCATCGAGATATCGATAGTCTGCAGGATAGGAAATGTATAAAATTAAGCATAAGTTGGCAATTTATATCTAGTTTTCCATATTTTATTCAAAATATTTACTCAAATTACGATTAAATAATTGTAAATTGATATTTTCTTATATTTATATTTATCTTCCCCAGCTTAAGTCCAATTTATTGCCCGTTTTGCTTTCGCTTTCGGGTCAAAGGTCGCCTCCCGCGCCAACCCACCAAGCAACAAATGTGGAGCAGGTGGCCTTTAGGCGCTTAGGGAGGTGAACTGGAGGGCTGTGAGATCACCTCACAAAGGGGCAGCTTGGGGGCTGGTAAGAAAACTCGTTTTGCTATTTGCGAATGCAATTGCGAGGCGGCGCGTTTTGGCCCAGTTGCGGTTGAAACTGTATTAGGCCTCAGACAGACACACGACATTTGGGGTACTGGGCAGGTGATTGGCTATATTGGATTTCAATTGGGCTAAAAGAAACCTTTAGATTCAGGTGCCAAACCCGCCACAGCTATATATCGGAATGTCGCACAATAAAGCCGAGATTACGCACCCACCAAGTAATTATGTATTCAAATATATGTATTTAAGCCCAGAACCAATATATGCCCAATATAGTTTATGGCCAACTTGGGGCCCCATAAATAAACTAACAGAATTATTGACACAAATTTCGTTCGGGTTTCTCTCCCTCTCGCGTGTGTGTTTGTGTTTTTTTGGCATGTAGAAGAATCTTTGGAATGAATGGCCAGCACTTAAAGATTTCTGCGGAACACACTTCGGGTGGCGGCATGCTTTTTTATTGGGGGCCTCAGTTCCCCAATGAATAATGGCGGCGCATTGTCCCGGACAGCGGCATATAACATATCGGGGAAAGATGCCTTATAAATGCCTTTATCACGCAAGCTTAATTTTCGGTTGCCACACCTTGGCGTGCTCCGTGACTTCTGCTCCTTGGCCAAAAAAAAACAATGGGACTCCTGCAGCATGGACCTGGGCTGTCTCTCTATAAAATCTGCTCTTGGGCTGGACTGTGATTGCAAGCATTTTGGGCCGCCCACATGGAACATCCGGCAGAACGAAAAGTGGCAACATCCTCTGGCCCTCTAAGACTTTGGCCAAGAAATCCGCTCAAGCATTGCAAATTAACTCGAGGCACGCAGCAGCAACTGTTGCAGTTGCAGTGGCTGTTGCAACACCTCGGCAACAGTAGCTGCAAAGCGTTTTGCATTGGAATCTCTGGGCCCAGAAGCGAACCGAATTCGCATCCGAATCTAAGCCCAGTTTATTCAATTTCCCCCGCCCTGGCTCGGAGTCGCTGCTGTCGGCTTTCTCACTGCCACACTGACAAACGGACTGACAGAGTGACAAACTGACTGGCTGCCTGAATGACAGAGTGACAGCAGCTGCGTGGGCTCCCCAATATACATACATACATACATATATCTCCTATAAGGCTTTTGTTCTTGCTCACAATTTATACGACGCCTCGTCGCTGAATGGTTTGACGTTTTTGCCCCGTTCCGTTGGCAACTCTATTTGGCCAGTTGTCGTTTATTACTTAAGCACAGTCGCGAGTGTTTCTTTATGGTCTTGGCACCCAAAGAATCCCCCGCGGATGAGATCTGTCTCCCCTCTCGAGTGGAAGTAACGTCTTGACCATTTTCGGCCGCACAGCAACGCCCACGAACTCAGGCTCTGGGGAGCAGGAAGTGCTGCTACTCCTAGATCTACCCATAGGTAGTTACTCCCCCAGGTTGTAAGACCCATCGGGGCAAGTCTTCGTTAATTCGAAATTAATAATAGCCGACCATGACCAAATGAGCCCGAAAAAACTCGGTGATCTTGGCTAGCTCCGCCGGGGTTAACGACCTAGGGCTGGCGCCATCAATTGGGCATTAGGCCAAAGGGGTTTGTGGTTTCAGAAACGCCAAGAATATCGGTTTGTGAAACCGCAGAGTTTCCTTGATTTTGACATATATATACATTTGTTGGATTTTCATGAATATATAATAAATTAACTTAGCTTGGTAAATATATTTATTCCGCTAAATAATAGTTGATCGTTCCAGCCATTGAAGCTTTTAATGAAAGCATTGATATTTATCTAAGTATATATAGCTTAATAACATTTTAAATTTCTCCATTAAACAAAGTTCTGAATAAAGGTTTAACATTTAGTCCACACAAAGTAATTCCCTGAAATGTACATCAAAAGTTCAGCACCTTGGTTTACGCTTTTTTTCTTGGCCCTCGTTTCGGAGAGTGCTGGGGCTAAGGTCGGTGGAAGTTCTTAAGTCCATTAAATTCCGTAAAAAACAAACAACAATTCTCCAAATTAATATAGATGCGAGCCTACTTGACGCAAATACAGTGCCTGACTTCAACGGATTTATTGCAAAATGTGAGCTGCCAAATCAACGAAAAGTCTCGGAGTGCATTAACTGTGGAGTTTGCCTTAACCAAGGACCTCAATGACATTAAGGGGCACTTTTTATTGTCCGTAGAGCGAGATTCGATTGCTGCAGACTATATTTCAATGGATATGGATTACTGTGAGCTTTTACAAAGCCAGCATAAAAATTATATAGTGAGGACTTTAACCAATGATGTGCGTCGAACTTCAAACTTTCCAGTGGAATGTCCCTTTAAAATGGTTAGTAATATATTATTTCTAACGATATATATTATTTAAAAACCCCTTTCTCTTAGAATAAACGCTATTTCGTTAAGGAATACAGCGTTGACTTGAAGATACTACCAAGCTATATACCAGAAATCAAGTTCAAAACGGACATGAAAATTAAATATAACGGAAAACTTGCTGTTAATTTTATTCTGCATGGGAAAATTATTCGAAATTAAAACAGTATTTTATATTGCTCACAAGAATTGTAAAAGTTTTATAATGAATTGTTGAAATAACATAATTATTGGTCCCTTTTTCAGATTATATTTACACCAAAATGCAAAAAGTCCGATAAATTAAACTGAATATCTTTAATTGTAAACTCACATATATGTGTATTTATCGATCTTCGCTTGAAATTTTGAAATAAAAAACCAACATTTTCTCAAAACTCACCTTTGGTTCGCGTAAGGCCTCCTCGGTGTGATGCTCGCGATACCGCGACCGCATCTCCTCCTCTCTGACCATGTAGCGCTCCCGTTCCCGCTCCTTCTCCTTCTCCTTGTCGCGACGACTCAGCGTGCTGCTATTCCCATTGCTCATCCGATCCTTTTTGCCGCTGGACACGTTGCTGCCACTGCTTCGACCACTGCCGCCATGGCTACCGGCCCCACCAGCTGAACTCGTGAACAACTGCTTGACTTTCTCGAAGCCACCCAGCTTCTTGTTCCGCTTCAGAGTGCTGGACTCCTCGCGGTTCGGGGTCTGGGACTGGGACTGTGACTGAGAGTGCTGCTCGCGACGACGCAGTGTGCTGGTGGCCACCGGATACTTGTCCAGGTGCGGATCAAAGTGGGAGCCGTCGTCGATGGAGCGTTCCCTGTAGACGTAGCTGTGCTCGCGGCGCAGTCGAGATGGCACCGCCTGACGCTGGATCTGGCGTTGCTGGGCACTGTCCCGCCGCTCCTTGCGCAGAAAGGAATCGCAGGCGCGAATGTCATCATGAACAGTGCGTTTGCGCCATCTGAGAAAGAGCGAAATCGAGATATTTATTATGCAAAATAAGAGAAATATGTTAATCTCTAGAAGAATAAAATAAAAATTAAAAATAATGATTTTTAGGGCTTACTTACTTTGTGGTCAAGTCTCCGTTGAATGACTCCTTGCGGAAGTCGTTCTCTATGCCCGAGTCACCCTTGTCGAAGCTGCGCTGCTGCAGCTTGTCCCGCTTGAGGCTGCTCTGCCAGTAGTCCTGCGGCTCCCGCGCCTCCCGCTGCAGCGTCTGCTGGGCGCGTAGCTCCGGCGAGGATCGGTACTGGTCCGTCAGCTGCGAGTCCAGGCTCTTGGGCTCGTGCTCCAGTCGATCCGCCGAGTTGTAGTCCCGTTCCCTTTCCCCGATGCGTTCGCGATGTCGCGACTCCCGCACCTGGCCATCCCGTTGAGTCTCCCGCACGTAGGTCTCCTTTACACCTCCTAGTCCGTCGTCGTAGTACTTGGTGTGACGGTAACGTGAGGTCTTCTCCATGCGGGGCAGCGTGGAGCCGCTGTCCACCTGGGAGCGCTCAGGCGGATACTCGCTGGACAGCTCCTGGCGAACTGGGCGATGGAAGCGCTCTGGCTCACGCTCGGGAGTGGGTCTGCCCACCTCTCGGTTCCTCTCCAAAGTGGCTCCCTCGCCGAAGCGTCTGGTGAGGATGCGGGTCTCCAGCTGGGCTCTGCGGTAGCCCAGCTCATCTAGGTATGGGGAGGGACTCACGCTCCGTATGACCGGAACAATGGGCGGTTCTGCCCGCCGCGAAAACTCGTCATCGTAGTACACCTTCCGGGGTTCATAGCCCAGACCCTCGTCCTCGTCGCTCAGATTCCGGGGACTTAGCTGCTGCCACGGCGACGGCGAGTGACTGGGCCGGCTGCTGGCCAGTGGAACGCCATTTGATGTCGGCGAATAACTGGGTCTGACATCGCTGGCCCGCGGAGGCCTGGCCGGGGCGAACTCCCGCTGCGGAGTGCGCACGTCGCGGTCCAGGGGCGAGCGCCGGACCTGCTCCTCGCCCAGATCCAGCTGGGCGTAGGTGATGCCCTCATTGGGCCGTATGTACGAGAAGGCCGGTTGGCTAATCACCGGCTGCGGGGAGAAGCGCTCCATGGACAAGCGCTTGACCAGGCCGTCCACGGTGCGGCCCTTGGTCAGTGGCAGGCGCTCCGCCGGCTGCTGGGAACTGTGCATATTCTCACCGGACTTTGCCTGCAGTGTCTCGATTCGGTCGCGGATTCCCGCCGAAATAGAGGGTCCTGTTCCTGTTCCTGTACCCTGTCCTGGTCCGCTCGAGATCAGGGGTCCGTCTAGCTCCGCCTGGGAGCGACTTCTGGCCAGCAGCTCGTTCAGGCCGCGACCGCTCTCATTCTTCTCGCGCGGCGTGACGGCGTCTGACTTGCGGCGCTCCCGCTCTCGGAAATAGTCCTTCTCGAAGAAGTCCTCGCGCTGTGCCTGCTCTATAATAGGACTCAGCTGCTGCTTGGACTGGGACTGGTTGCCGTGTGCCTTTTCCTCCAATTTCCTTGCTATCTTGCTGCTGCCCACATCACTCTTGCTGCGCACTAGTCGTCTGGCGCCGCCGTCCTCAAACCTGGGATCCCTGTCCAATTGGGGATCACTCTTGCGGCTAAAGAGACCAAAGATCGAGGGACGCTTGACCGCCGGCTTCTTGGTGGAGGCGTCACTGGCACTGCGGGCGACCGGCTTGCCCTTCTTTCGGCGCGTCGGCAGAGAATGGAAGTCACTGGGCTGGCTCTGGCGCCGCTGCTTGCTCCGGAAGTTGGGTATTTGGTCGCCGTTCTCGGCCTTGCTGTGGTGCCGGCCCGCCTGGGCGATCACCAAGGCAGCCTCTTTGCGAATGTCCGCGGGATCGATGTCCGGCGGGAGCTGGTGGTAACTCTGCAGGTTAGCCGGTGGCTCGTATTCACTGGGACGCTTGCCTGCTCGTATAAAAAAGGGTGAAAATTGATTAAATATCTTGTAAAAACAATGTTAAATATTTATCAAAAGGAAGTAAAATATGTATCGTATGATATTTGTTTAAAGAAGGTTTCGGATGTACACAGAAAGACATCTTCATCAGCACCTACTGGCATACATTGTATTTTTGAAAGCTCAACATATCAACACTCTCTGCACATTATTTAATATTTAAAAGTCTATAAATATCATTAAAATGTGAGCTATAGAACTGCTATTGTTTTAGTTCTGTGTGTATGAAAAGTGAGGAGGTTTACAGGGTTCAAATACACAATTGCAGAGGCAGTTCCGCGAACTAGTTGGCATTCATGTAAAGACAAATTAGCACATTAGCCCGGCGATGATGTAATATCTGGCAGAGGCTGGCAGGCTGGCAGGCTGGCAGGCAGTCCGGCCAGCTGTGGCCAATTCACACTTGCCAGCTGCCAACTACTAGTCGCTAAATAAGGCAGCCCGTCCCGTCCGGACCATACTGATTCGGTGGAGCTCTCAGATCGAGAGACTGCCGGCCGTCTGACAATGGATCTAGCCCACGTCTGTCCGAGATGGAGCCCTCAATGCTTGATGCCGGGGAAACGCTGAAATGCCAAGAGATCTTGTGGAACGCCTGCTCTGTAATCGGGCGCTGTAAGCGCTAATGGCCATTGAAGAGGCTGCTGCGGTCCCAGTTGATCTATCTCTCATAAAGATTCCTCTCCACTTCCTCACTTTTTTTGTTCTTTCATAATCATTATTATTTAATACGCCGAAAACAACAGAGCAGCGGAGCAGTGGAACAGCAGAGGGGCCAGCAGAACGAAACAGAAACGCCAAGGAAAACGTGCCGAAACGAGCATCATCATCGCGGCTGGCCAGAACGAGATGTGCCGGCCGAGATGCGTGATCTCTCCAGTCAGCCAGTCAGCCCCTTTTTTCCGGCCAACTCATCTAGTTGCACACAGAGAAATAGTTGGAAGTGATCTGATTGCGATTAGGAATGTATATCGAAAGGAAAAGTATATATGTATTATTCAGTTACCTAATTATGATGATATGTTTAGTAAGTATATTTATTAAGTTTTTAAATGTGCAAATGTACTTTTCTGTTTGCAGTCTGACGTGTTAGTTAAATTCTTAATTACAAGAACCGGATTGACTTTGTGTAAAATATATTATAATGAACATAAAACTTAATCTAATTTTTTGCCGTGTAGCACACACATCTCAGAACCTAGAGTTCTGAGCCGAGATCTCAGATCAGCGGAGCCATCTCATTTCTGTGCTGACCTTGCCCCGAGATCAACTGGACTTCTGTTTCCCCTAGCCGTTCCCCCACAACCTGTGCCGCTCCAGCTTTCGACAGAGCAGTGTCCATTCACCTGCACAACCTGTCACATTCGTGAACAGAGAAGTGGAGCCCCAAGAACCGCTCCCACATTCGCTCCGATTCGAATCCGAATCTAAGCCGTGCTGCAAAATGGCAAAGTGACACCGATGGCTAATCGAAATTCAAACAACAATGAATAATGACAGAGCTGGGCGTGTCGTGTGCCAAATTGGTTTAGCGTTAACGGCATGGGATTGCGAATGGGATTTAGATGGGAGCTGGCAGCAGCGGTGCTCCAGGTACTGAAACTATTCCCAGGAACTGCACACACATCCATCTGCGACTGCAATCAGCTGTCAGGCGATATGTGTCAAGGTGAAATGCAGTGCAGCTCTCGGAGCTCCCATGATGGCTCGATCTTGGCCAACTTACAAGGTTTCGGTCGTTCGTTCGTTCATTCGTTCGCATGCCGGCGGCGTTTTGTATATCTTTCTCGTTATATCGGCGCAGTGTTTTGTATTATTTTGGAGGCAACAGGAAAACATAAATTCGCACTAAGCGACAGCATCAAAGAGCTCTCAAGAGCTTCAACCGTAAACAGAGTTCCCATAGACCCCGAAGACAATCATCTCGGGGCGGTTTTTTGGTGCTTTTCAAGCCAGGCAGTGAGTACAGCATTTGATTGATTACCGAGTGCTGAGAGGCACTCATTAATCTAATCATTGATCCACTTTATGCGGCCACGCCATCCTAACCAGCTCGATTCGAGCCCATAAGGAGCCGGAGCCCATAATAAGTTCCACTTTGGAAAAGCCACCGCGGCGATAAAGCATCTGATCCACTTTTCCAACTGGTCTCTGCCCCTGGCCAGCGCCTTTCCAGTTGCAAGTTTGTGTGTTTGGGGCTCAGTTTTGGGTTCGGTTTCGGTTTCGGTTCCGGTTTTCGGCAAAAACACACTGACCAACTTCAAAGCCACGCACAACCAGCAGAAAAAAACAAGTAATAAGAAAAAATCAGCCGAATTTCGGCTCATATAAATAATGAAATCTGCGGCGACTTTCACTTGCCGCAAAACGCCGCTGCCAGGAGCAAGTCGTCGCCGTTGACTTTGCCTTAGTTTAATGATACCGCTCAGTAATTGTGATGATGCCGCTGTTGCGACCTCCAGTCCGCCTCATTAAGAGCAACCACAACCACAGAAGAGGAAGAGCCTGCTCCAGCTCTAGCTCTTTCTGCAATCCACTCCACGTAGCTGGCAAAACGTTTTAGTTGGCTAAAATGCTTTATCCCCTGCTGCTGGCCATGTCAGTGACAAGATAAGGTCGAGGCAGTTCGCTAAATGGGAGCTCACCCGCATTCCTCGCCCGCCTCTGAGCCCGAGCTACTGGTCTAGGCATGCACTCGGAGGAATCTCTGGCAAGGGGCACATTAATGCCTTATTAATGGGGTCCAAGGTTCAATAATTACTATAGAAAATAGCTCTAAAGGCAAGAGTCAGGTAAGATGTCAAGAAGTTGTTAATGATTCCAAGTTTCACTTAATTTTTTTGCAGTGCAGGTTCGGCTTGCTAAAGAGCTGCGTAGGCTGCCATGGGGTATTTCAATTAACCGGAGCGCACTTTCGATTTCATTTAAGGGCCTAGATCGGACTTCGGCTTTTATCTGGACAGGTCGTATTTATTTTCGGTATGAAAATAATTTAATGCTCCTCCGCGAAGGCAGGAGTCGCAGGACCTAATCACTTCAAAAGCGGCGCGCCGCGTCCTTGGAGCGAGGTATGCAAATCAGCGTGTTGCAGGGGATAAGGAGGCTGGACCTGCAACTGTCCAATTAAAATTGCTCGCTGGCCATTCCGCAGGGCAAAAGGCAAAAGGCAAACGGCAAATGCGAAGGGGAACTTTCGCTAAAGAATGGCGCCCATACAAAAGGCTCGGGCGACAAACTTGTTTCTCCCCCTAAGCAGCTGTCAACAGCAACAGCTACAAAGCGCTCGCTGGGCGAGAGCGGATAAACAAATAACAAATCACCGAAAAGCACAAAGAAAACCGAAACATTCGACGGAAAAGAGTTAAAGAGCTCTAAAAATAATCTGCGACTCATTTCAATACACATTTCGATAAACAAATGACGCAATCGTCTGCAATTCGAAGTGATTTTCTGTATTTGCGACAACTGGAGTTAAGGTTGGGGATTTCGATGATCGACAACTCCATTTAGACGAATTTACCTCCAATATGTATTCTGGTATATATATTCCCCCAGGCGTCTCCCTCTATGTTGTCACTGGACACAAGCACTTCAGTTTCGGAACGAGAAGAATGACAGGCGGCGGCTAAGAACCTGACTGAGTCCAATATCAAAAGCGACTGAAAGCAATCTCAGCCGAGCGGGGCGGCCAACAACTGCGGCTGCCTACGCCAATGTCACTCGAGAAAAAAATACAACAAAAAATGGTAATAAAAAGCTGAAACAGCAACAGAAACAACTGAACAACAGCGAGAAAATAGTGCGAAATTTGTGGGCAGGCAAGCCAAAAATTGAGACTTATTAATTAAGTTTCTTGCGCAGCGCGCGTAGAGACATAATACGAAAATAAAACAAAATATATGCAAATGATGAATTAATAAAAAAGCATAAATGGCATTTTAATAGCAGCCTTCCCATCCCCAACCCCAGCCCAAAGATCCAAAGATGGCACGAGAGCAGACCCAAAAAACCAGTTGCGACTTTGACAAAGTTCGCACTCGACACTCGGCACTCGGAAAGCCAAATCAAATGTGGAGCTGAACGCCAAAGCCAAAAGCACGAGAGCAGTAGGAAACGTCGTAGCAAATCCCATAATAATGACTTGCTCTCTGCCTAATTAAATTAATTAATTAAATGTGTACGAGAGCTCATTAGAGAGCATCGTAATGGGGAAATGGGGAGGGAAATGCCTTGCGTCTTACGCAACGCTGTACGGGAGAGGCCTACGCTTCTACCTCGATCAGACTTTGACTGGCTAGAGGTGGACTTGTTCTCGTAACGCCTTTTTAATCGCCCATCTGAAATTATGTCATCACCGCACACACACACAATCTCGGGTACTATATGTGCCAGTTGACGGATGGAAGGACGACGACTTGGCCAGGAGCCAGCCTAGTCTTGGCCTTGTTCCCTTGTGTGCACCCCTCTCGCATCACCTGTCCGCCTTCGAGCAGCTCGGACTGAGTGAGTGCATCATCAGGCAGCACAGCTGTCGACCCGACTCGTCTTGGCCAAATTTGTCGCTGCGCAAGGCTGAACGTGATGCCGTCCGTGCGACCGAGGCTCACCTGTAGCAGCGACGCTGTCTCAAATTGGCTGAAATTAGTCGTCTTTTAGTTGATTTTTTCGTTTTTCTTTTTTACAGTCAACAACTTTGACTTTTGACTGCACTGTAATTTAGCAGAAAATTCACATGTTAACTTGCCGATGAAAAATGTTGCCTTGTGCCCAGCGGGCGAATAATTTTCCTTTCCAGCTGCCTCTTCGCTTTATCTCGCTGTTTTGTTGCGTCAAAATTAAATCATCATTAAATCTGTGTTTTACACATAATTGCTTTAATTTGCATGCAAAGATAGAGGCTAAGATAGAGACACAGAGAGGCTGAAATTAATTTTTTAACTTGAGCCTAAATTACTTTAAACGTTTGTGACTGGCGGGATTACTCTGCTAATTGCAAACCCTTATCCGTCACGAAATCCTTACACTGAGATTTTGTTTTATAATATTAAAGCTGAACTTTAGCTGTAAAGTATTTAAACATCAAATGATTTTTGGTTATTTTAAGCAAGTTATTCGCTTCCATGAAGGAAGTCTCGAGGTGAATCAAAAGACTTGGGCCACGAACTTGTTTTCAAGACTGATCAACTTTCAAAATTGTAGAGTTTAGCTTTAAGAGAAATACAACAATTAAATACTGTTCTTATTTGAAAAGCTATACATATTTCTTTAGTTTATTTAGTAAAACTATAAGCTATAAGATGTTTAGCTAACATCACAAACCTCATCTCTAATGCAACTTCGACAGACTAGGCTATGGACTAATGAATCGCGCCTGGCCGGCAGATTACCCAATCACGTTACATTTGGACAACCTCGAAGCATTTGCCTAAACCAATTCACAAATTGCAATTAAATTCGCTTGCGTCAATTAAGCCAAGTTAAGCGAAATGGCAGCCATTTGAGGCAATTACGCGACTGGGGGAAATCTGGTTCATAACCATTTAAGATCTACGCACCGAAAAGGACTTTCGGTTAATTAGCCAAGCCAGAGAGCCATAAGGAAATGCGAGAACAACCGGCTTTGGCAGTTCTAAATGGAAAGGAATTAGCCTGCCTAGGTTTTGTCACAATCAATTTTTAATTTCTTCATTCCGCCGCAGCCACGGATCGCGGCGACAGTTGCCATAAATTCAATCCGGCTATGAAATAAATCCCATGTCGTTGCTGTCGCGGCTGCCAGACATAATCATAACAATAATAATATAGTCGGAGACAAAGCGTCCAGCTTGTGCTTCAGCTCTAGCTTTAGCTCTAGCTCCAGATGCAGATGCAGATGCAGATGCAGATGCTCTGCCTTGCAGGCCCTCTCCCCTGGAGATGGGATGTGCAAAGTGATACTCGGCCAAGCTGGGCGACTTGTAATGCCTTATAAAATATCAACTTATTTAAAACAGTCATAGGGAAGCTCTCCTCCACTCGGCGTCTATGTGTGGCTGCTATGCTGTGCTGTGTGCGATTATTCTCAAGGTAAACTACATTTTATTGTTGGGGCGGCTTTGTTATTATTATATTTATTTTTATTGCTTTTGGCATTCGTTCTGGCTTTAGTCGCCCACCAGCGCGAGGTTGCTTTTTGTTTTTCTTTCCTCGCCTTCTCCACATATATAGCTTGCTACTTGTGTTTATTATTTTTCTGTTCCTCGCCAAAAAATGCAAATTGCAACAAAGAAAACTGAAAAGCTGAAGAGGCTCTTATGCAACCGAAGATGGAAAGCCACGTCTTCGCGCTAGAACTCGCTGGCTAACTCGCCGGGCTAATGAGTTGCATTCGCGTGGGTTGTTAGCGTCCGTCATTGATTGACCAAAATTGGCCTACTCACACACACACACATGGATGTAGTATACGTGGATGCGGGTTAGTAATTTTTTGTTAGCTGGTTATTGATGAGGTTGCTGGCTTTTTGCTTAGTTTGTCATTAGGGAGCCTTGTGGCCGCCGCTCTCATTCGGATGCTGATGCTGCTGCGCGTGTTGGTTATTTGTTTTTAATTTCTGGTTTGGCTATTGGGGTTATGTTTTTTTTTGCGTCGGGAGAGCAGGCACTTAACACTGACCTATCCGCTTCACGTGCACATCCCGATTGAAGCTGACCCTCGGTCCTCCGTTCGTCGCTCCACTTTGCTGGGGCAATTGCATCTTGGCGGGGGTATGTATATCCTTGTTGATCCCTGCTGAACTTCCTGTATGTGGTCTCGCTCTGTCTTTGCTATTCTCTCTCCTGTCGTTGGGGCTTCTTCGCGAAGAATCTTCTGAAGAATCGCAACCCTAAGTGAGCGACAGTCTCATCGAACTGTTTGAGCTCTGCGCATTTTCCATTTAACTTTAGGCAATTGTAAATGGACTTTAGCTGCAAGAAGAAATATAATTCTCTGAGTAAACAATACCTCTTTCTCGTGGTCTGCTTTCGTGGGTTATTCATGTTATTTGATTATTTTCCCGGTGATTAGTTTGCAGCTCTTTGACTGGTTTTTGCCTTTTTATAGTCCGTGTTTAATTTGTTTTAGGTTGATATTAATGTTTTTTGTACTGTTCACATGCGAGTGTGGACGAGTGTGGAAAGAAAGTGGCATTAAAAATAAATTAGTTATTCAATTTGGCAGGAAATAATCGAAGGAAATCTTTAGACTTTTTTAAAGAAGTAGAAAATTGGTAAGTTAATAAAAAGTATTGCAATAGAAATTCGCTTGAGAGCCTTAATATATAAGATAAAGTATTAATATTAAGTTTAATATACCAATTATTGTAAATATTACATCTTGGGTACGCATTTCACGTTCTTATTCAATTAATTAATTGAGCTTAAAACCATTTTCCTCAACTATATATTTCTTATTGCAACTTGAAGATTAATTTATTTTCAATTTTGACACATTTTAGCTACATTCTTTGTACCCGTAGAAAGAGTATTAACATGACAGCAGTAAAAAGAATAATTGCCAATTAATTCTTATTCTGATTCCGAATCCAACGCTCACTCTGACAGATCCCTAAGTTTCGGCGGGTGTGGGCACAATCGAATTGAGTTTTTTCTTTTATTAAAATTGTATTTCTTTTATTCTTATTTTTTGTTTTCTTTTCTCTGACAATTACAAAAATAGAAACACGATGAGGGTGCCTGGGATGCATACGAAATTCAAATAAATATATATATAACATAGTATGTGCGGGGAGTGCCTGAGCGGAGAAAACCGTAGAAATATTGATTGTGATTAAGCCAACGCGATAATATTCATATTTGAATACGAGAGTGCAAACTCTCCTTAAACAATGCCTTATGCCCGAGGACACTCGGTCCCCACCGCCGCCGCCTCTTCCTCCGCCAGCCCCAGCCTGGTATCCAAGCAGGCCCAGAGATCCCCCAGAAGAACGTCCAGTTTAGACAACAGCTCCATGGTCACGCACCCACCCAAGCGCACACATGCAAAGACTGCGAAACGAGAGGCTATTTAGCATTGCACGAATTGTTGATACCTTTGTAATATATTTTTGATATTATAGAGATTTTAAGGGGTTTTTGGTATATTTTATGCCAAGAGTAGTAAAAGCAGCAAAATTTCACAATAAATACTCTTATTTTTAATTAAAAAGTCAACAAATTTGAGTTATTTGATAAAAAATGAAATATGCTTCTATTCTTAACAATATTATTATATACCTTTCATTAAATAATAATAAATAACACAAAATCCTCGATCAATTCTCGAAATAAACCTAAATAATATATATTTTAAATAATCCAGTAATGTTTTAAAGATTTCTTTTAAAATCTTTTATATTTATTACTCCAAAAAACATTTTCAGATATTTTTCTCGAAAAGAGTATAATAGGGAGCTCTGTGGCGTGTGCAAAATGCCTGTCTATTATGGCACCTGGACAAGGACCTGCCGTCGCCGCTGCTCATTCACTACTGGCTTACTTCCAGGTCGCGCTTCTACAGACCCCAGCCAGGGATCAGAATCGGAGCCAGACAAGAGTCTGGTGCTGAACTATGGGCACTGGGCACTGCAGCTTTCCGCTCTAACAAGCACAATCGCCCGGCTAGACATCAATGGCCAATGGTCGTCTGTCCGATCATGGGCCTGGGACGCAGATACGGCGGCCATCCTGCGCAGGGAAAAACGCTGCGAGCTGCCAATAAAAATCCTTTACCATATAATTTGAGTGCGCATGCGTGCGCCGCAAACGTTGATGGGAAGAGCTGGCTGGAGCAGCTGGACGGGAATGGTACCAAGACGAGACTGGGGCTGGGACTGGGACTGAGACGAGACTGTAACTGCGACTGGGAGGCAGGCGCTTAGCCAGATGCCGATGTCCGATGTCCGATTCCCGATGCCTGATGCCCGATGCCGATTGCCGAGCGTTGATTGCGCCATGAACGTGATTTGTTTGTAAACACGCATTATTAAGGTGTAATAAACATAAAATTTGTATCGCCTGGCGGACCTTGGAGCCGGGTCTGTACTACCTGGCAGCAGAGCCGCAATTGTCCCCGGCCCAGGGTCTTTCAATTAAACTAAAAAGTAGGAAGCCCCCTCCTGGACTAGCGACCATTCACAGCTCTCGCAGCATTTGCATGCGTCTGCGGAGTAGCGATGGCTAAATTTCAGACAAATTATGCGAAATTATACAAATTACGCCCGTGCATGTGGGAATGAGAATGGAAATGGGATTAGAGTATCGCGCGTAGAGCAAACAATTTAAGGTCCGCCACTCCGCTCAGCGCCTAGAACAATAATCGTTCTGAACTTGAACTTTAACACGGCGCGGTAATGATAGGAAACCCCAAGCCCAAACCCCACCCAAGTCTTCAGCCCCATCACCATTCCAATCCCCATTCGAGTCCCCATTCCAATCCCTATTCCAATCCCAATGAAGTGAAACCAAAAGTGCGGAGCAAAGCAAACAAAAGTCTCGCCAGTTGCCCACTTTGCGTGTGTTCTCAGCGCCGCGGATTGGATCTGACCTCTGGGGTTAAGCGGGGTTCACTGGGAGAAAACATGGTATGTCAAGTATTTATAAAAGACTCAATCATTCAGAAATACACTTTATGCTATTATATTTTGTGAGGCGATGTTCATACTTGGTGAAACTTCTGCTATTATAAAATATATTCCTTTCAAAACAATTTGGTGTCATCATTTTATAATTATTTGTAATTTTAAAAATATATACAGTTATGACAGTTTTTTATTTAGGTAGGTCTCTGTAATGTTTACAGCAATTCTTGAAACCAAATACCAAATACCTAGCTGAAACAATACAGTTCACAAGGACTCTCCAAATCTCTCCCAAAATCGTAAACAAGAACTTTATATAGCCAAGTTCTATATTTAATATAATTGTCATAAAGTTAGTTTATAAATATGAACATAAATAATTTAAATGAATTTTAATACCTATGAATATTTGTCGAAAAGCCAAATAAGATATAGAAGACATCAACTAAATATACAAGATAGAAAGTAAGTCTTTTCCACTTGTTTATTTAATAAATTCCATTGAAAATGTAAAACTTATTTTTCCTTGTGTAACACCGAGCGCGGCCTTTTCGTATAGAAGTGAAAATGAAGGTGTAGTCCAATTTGTAAGTATGGCCAAGCCCTGTGGCCATTCAAAGTCCATGTTATGCAAAGATCAGAGCACAGTCCCGTCCGCCTCTGCGGCAGCCGCCTGTTCCCCTGCTCCCTCTGGGGAATTCTGGGCACCGAGAGCTCCTCTGGTTCTCTCGAACCTACTCCCTCTGGAGTCCAACTGGACGTTGTTGTCTAGCGTTGGCCACATTTTTCCATGCGTGCCTTGCCCCGCTGCTCAGCGGCCGCTTTGTTGGTGGCGCTCGTCCGCGTCTTCGACTTTGGCAAATACTTAATTGCATTTCGATATCTATGCCCAGGCATCTGTGAGTGAATGCCGCTGCCGCTGCCGCTGAGGCCTCAACGGGCCAATACCCAATGGCCAATATCCAGTACCCAGTACCCAATGCCCCTCCAGACGGCCAGGACGCACAGACAGGCAAAGAACGCGCCGGCGCTGTCTTTGGCCAGGAGTCCGCAAGTCGAGAATGAAGAATCGCATTTGGGCCAGGCTGGGACCAGGCTTAGACGGGGGGGCTATCTTTTCGTTGTGGGTATTGTCAGGTCTTACAACTAAATTCCCCCTGAGCCGAGCGCTTTACTAAGGAAATTAGTAATTGCTACTCCCATTTAGAGACATCTAAGCGGCCATCTACGAGCATGTACGTGTGGCATTCGCCCCAACGATGACGATGACAACTTCCCCGCTCTCGGAGATTGTCTGACGATTGTCCAGCGCCCACTCTCAATAGCTGGCATAAGCAGGGGTGTCTGGGAGGGGAGTGATATCCAAATTGTCTTAGAACTTTGAGATATGTACATATTCTAGAACTTTTCATTTCCGCTTTCACTTTCCGGGGACTTTATAGAATTTTAAATCGATTTTAGCAACTTTATCTGTTTGGTAGAAGTTCCATAAGTTTCTAAACTCTCTAAAATATATATATAATTACCCATGACGAACGTTCTGTGACCCCTTTTGCGAGCACGTCTCTGTTCCCGCCTACCAATGCCAAACTTGGTCACATTGTTTGTCATCGTTTTTCGTGGCTGCTGGCCGACCCGCCTGCCCGGCTCTGGCTGTCGTTTTCACGCTTTGTTAGCCAGCTAAACTGTATCTGAATCTGGGAGGAGGAAGCCTCCCTTTTGTCCGAGTATCTCACACTACTAACTATCTGTGTTAGAAGGTTAATCTGCGCAGCGTTACGTGGCAACTTTGGCGTGCAACTTGGCGGCAAGGCAAGTGTCGATAGCATAACTGCGAGCTGTTCCCAGACGGCGAAAAATGTAAATCAATTTCTTTGCTTACATGTCTGTATACTACTTTGTTTCTCTCTGGCTTTTTTGCATGATTAATAACGCTCGCCGCGGCCTGGGATCGCCGCTGGGCGCGAAAGAAAACAAAAGATTTCACTTTTCGAACTCATAATTAGCCCTGGGAGTGTAAGTATATCGAAGATGGCTGTCGAGATAGATATATAGAGTTGCGGCGCTGGATTCTGGCCTTGTCATACTCGTAGCTGATGGCTATGCGACTCCCCGACTCCCGACCTGCACGGAAATCAATTAGGCAGCATCGCGGCCATCTGACAGTAGAGAGTTTAGATCGATCGATCGATCATCAAGGGTCGACAATCGCTTAAAATGAGAGTAGATGGATAGATACTTAACAAGTGTGGGGTAAAATTATGTTAAAAATTTATATTTTTATGGATTTGTGGATTTATAATTTGCATTTTATAGTTGCACATTCAAACCTATTTATAAAATTAGTTC